AGGTTTCACGATCCCCATCTGCATTTGGACCAGAATAGCTCATCTTTCATTTGTTTATATTATGGAGGTCTGTAAAATATTTCTTTTGAATAAAGGGCTCCCCCCATTGCTTTAAAAGGGCTCCATTGCTTTAAATCCTGATCAACTTAATTAGGGCTAAGTTTCCTACAACTATTTACTGATTTTCCCTTCTCCATTTTAAGACAAGAAGGAAATTTATCATTATTTAATTTCAAATTACGATGAGGATAGAAACCCCTAGGTAACAATGTTTGCTAGTTAGGTAAGGTCCCTATTGTAGTTGTGCCCTCAACCCAGGAGCTATATACTCTAGCATTGTGCCCATTAGATGGAAGCACACCAATCCCCCTCCTGTGTCCCCTCTTCTTTCCCTCCCCTGCCCCAACTTGAATTAAATTGAGTTTTTCTCTTGTATGGGCATGTGTTAGATCATCTACTGGCTTCATATTAGCATTGAGTATGTTGAATACTTGCTTTTCCATTCTTGTGATACTTTACTAAGAAGAATGTGTTTCAGCTCCATCCAAGTTAACACAAAAGATGTAAAGTCTCCATCTTTTTTCAGGCTGAATAGTATTCCATGGTATACATGTACCACAGTTTATTAATCCATTCCTACATTGATAGGCATTTGGGTTGTCTCCACATCTTGGTGACTGTAAATTGAGCTGCAGTACACAATCTAGTGTAAATGTCCTTATGATAAAATGAATTATCTTCTTCTGAGCAGATGCCTAACAATGTAATTGTGGAATCAAATGGAAAGTCTGTTTTGAGTTCTTTGAGGATTCTCCATACTTCTTTCCAAAGAGGCTGTATTAGTGTAAGAGACCCACCAACAGTGTAAGAATGTTTCCTTGTCTCCATATCTGTGCCAGGACCAGAATGAAATTTAAATGGAGAGAAGACAGAATTTACAATTTTAGATATGTTCATATTTCTCCTGGATTCCATCTCAGTCTTTTTTCTCACAAGCCTTCTTTTAGCACCTTTCTAGTGGGTAACATAACAACAACGTCCAGATGTTAATGATAGTAAGTGTTCATTCTTTCCTATACCTGCAGCATCACTTACTATTTCTAACAACCAAGAAAAAGTCTTCTTCTACATAGAACTTCTCCAAAATTCCTGCAAAGTATCTTCTAGGTTCCATACTTAAGTTATTCCAAGATGTTTAATTCAATGCCACCATCTAATTGCCTTATAACATATGAAATTTTTAAAAATTCCATTTTTAAAATAAGATACTTTGTCTTTTTTGTTTTTTTAAGATGGAGTTGCACTCTGTCATCCTAGGTAGAGTGCCGTGGCATCATAGCTCACAGCAACCTCAAACTCTTGGGATCAAATGATCCTCCTGCCTCAGCCTCCCAACTGGGTGGGAATATAGGCATCCATCACAACACTAGCTAGTTTTTGTATTTTTAGTAGAAATGAGGGTCTCACTCTTGCTCAGGCTGATATCTAACTCCTGAGTTCAAACAATATATCTGCATCAGTCTCCCAGAGTGCTGGTGTTACAGAAGATTAATTGTCTTAAGGAGTTGCAGACCCATGTGCAGTAAATACTTCTATGAGGGTTATAAGAAAAATGAGCCAAAAGACATACAGGTACAGTATTCTTTATTATAAACAATCAGATAGCTTAAGTACAGCTTGATGGATAAATGAAGCCAAGTTACTATAATCAAAAGCATTACTTCACTCAAAAGAAGTAGTTTCTTTCTTTCTTTTTTTTTTTTAAGCATTAAGTTGAACTTTCCTTTAATGTCTACTGGGATCATCTAATCTTGTCATCCAGTTTCAGCTGTTCAATCCTAACAGGGAAAGATAAAATGTGAAATGGATGTCATATTTTGTTTTATTTGTTAAATATATATATACCAAATATTTGGGACACATTCAAAGTGAAGCAGGAGCTTAAAGTCTATCAAGTGACATTTTAAAGTGCTTTTGCTATTTTTTGTTGCTGTTAGGAGGGTATCCACATCCTCAGAAGATGTGACAAAGAGGATGCTAAATGCTAGGTAGGTGGCCAACTGTTTTTGATTAAAAAATTAAGAAAACATAAAGTGTTAAATAGTGACATCTTTACAAGCATAGTTCAAATACTGACCAGCTAGTTAAAACAAACTTTTCATATCTCGATTTTTTGACATTAAAAAAACTAGCTTGAACAACATGATAAATGTTCTGAGTCTCCTGAGCAGGCTGCAATGTCACTACAGGATTCTCTGTTGCTTCTCCATGGCAACCTTGAACATCTTCTGCAGTGGTGATGTATTTAAGGCTTAGCATGTCTGGTTTGTTAGTTATCCTGAAAACCAATCTATTCAATTTTTTTGGACTGTCTACCGCAAGGAATGAGTGTTACATGAGCACATTTAGAAGCTTGAAATCAAACGCTGCAGCATTACAATTTTTGAGAAGTTTGGCAACAAGAAAAAGCTGATTAAAATATGACTATGTTATAATGACGAAAGAGTTAACTTTTCATCAATTCTAAATTACCTATATTTCACAGGTCTGCTAATAAAGGCTTTTGGTAAGACATGACTGGTGTTATCATCACGATCATATGTGCCAATTTAATAGGTTTTTTTCTTTCTTTCTTTCTTCCTTTTTTTTTTTTTTTTTCAACAGAAAACACTATTTCACTGCAAAATTTTGTCCTGGTTTCCCATAGCCACATGGAAATTCAAGTTTTTTGTTTCTTGTTTTTAATGTCATTAATAAGTCACCAGTTCTGATTAATTCCATAAGGTGTTAAGATTATCAGAGGATGAGTTTGACAGTTTATGGAGAGACTGAGAGAGCTATGTTTGATCTCTGGAGCAAAAGCCATGTCTTGTAGCTCTCCCATGGAAGGGTGCCCATATGAGACTCAACATATTAATGTCTTTCCCCAAAAAAAGGGAGATGGGGAATTATCAGAAATTGGAGAAGCAAGGAGAAGAAAACAACCAACTTTGGGACTGGGAAGAACAGTAACATTTGTCAAAAAAATCTACTACTTGATTGCTCAAGAGAGAAGAAAAATACAAATTTCAAATAGATGTAATTAAGAAAAATCAATTACCTTTTCTTCAAGCAAAAGATCATGTGCTTTGTTTTGCTTTAGAAGTTCTGGAACATGAAAATGTCTCTACAAGCAGATTTACTCTTAAGACTCTCAGCTCCACGAGAGCTGGGACTGTCTCTTGTTGACATTTGATCCCACAATACCTAACATGGTACCTGGCATGGACAGGTACACAATACATATGATGAACCAATAAACTACAGGTTTTTCTAAACACTAAATGGGCCACCTAGTTTTAATGTAAAGGTAATAATCATTTTCTACTGTATACATGAAAGTTCCTATTAGATAACACTAGTCATTACAAGAGGTGACAGGCGCAGCTCACTCATGTATCTTTTCAACATGACCATTTCTACATTGAATACAATTTAATGAGAAAAAACTTCCAAGTGCACTAACGCTGGCAAAAGTTGAGAGAAAATGTGAAAATGAAGGAGCTTCTTGGATTACTGAAGTGCTATCTGTTACAAGCATAGCTGCCATCTTAAGTTACACATTTTTAAGAGGATGTGAAATATTTTTCCAAGCAATGCAGTGGGTGGTAATTATTTATGTACATATACTAGAGTACCTACAAAAGTGGAGACCTTTCCTCCATCACTCAAAGGAAAATTTTATAATGTTCTTAATATTGTGTATATTTTTAAAAGATGTCCTATTATTTAGTACCACTAATGCTTCAGAAATTCCCAGGGATTATGAAACTATTATCACTTTATTTGGGAGTGTATTATCAGGCACAAGACTTTTAGTTTTAATAGCAGCTACCAGGTTTGATCAGTAGATATTTTAATTACCACAGATATTAATAACTCATAAATTTGACCCAGTAATGTATGTAGATTTTCTAAAAGTCTTTGCTTTAGTAATCCGCAAATAATATTTGCCAAGAGACAGGGAAAGGGCAAAAGGAGGGCCCTCACCTAAGGACTTTGACATGGGAAGGTGAGAAGGTGTGTGTCCATGTGTGATGCTTTCTTTGGTCCAACCCTTTTGTTTAACCTGCTTCTTCTCCACATGGGACTGAAGCCCATGCTGCCATGGTACACTGCAGAGTCCCGTCTGCAGGACTGCCTGCCCCGGGCAGCTCACACCACAGGCACCTGATTGCCTATGTGGAAAGCAGGCATCTGCTTGGGTGGTTCTTGGACTAAGTTCTGGTCTTGTAATTTGGGAATATAGCTCATTTCATGCTATTTTCATATTTATTTTACCTTATTAAACTTTTTTGTGTGTGCAGGAGTAGTTTGAGGCAACATGGATGCTTAGCTTCACAGTTTCTTCTCCAATCACAGTTTAAATTGATTTAAAACATACCGTTAACATCAGCACAATAGTCCAACTATGTCAGTTTCAGAAAGAAAACTTTCTGTGGCTTATCTCACAGAATTCGTTATACAAGCTTATTTTTTTTTCCTTCTTTCTTGCCAATAGCACTAAACATGAGACCATTTAGAGTATATGAATTCGAGTGCTTTGTTTCATCTGGGAGTGTTATTTGCTGTAGTGCTGCTAATATGTGACTTTTGCTAAATGAACAGTTTGCCATTCCTGTGAGCCTGCACGGCATGCTTTAGAATGCTGTGGCTGACTGAAGCTGCTGTGCATTCTGCCAACACCCTTTGAATACCGTTGACACAGTTGCCTTTCATTTGTTTCCTCCCACAAAAGAAGCTGCTTCCTTGTAGAGCACAGGCACAAAAACCCTGCCTTTCCAATTGCACTGTACTGGTACCAGGTTAACTAGAAAGCACAAAACAAATTGTGATTAAAAAATATGAACAGTATACATTGTATGTATTTACACACCTCTTTAGAAGTTTCAGTTAGTTGCAAACCTGAAATGATATAAGCTGTGGCTTGCAACAACATCTACTCTATGGAAGTGCAGCTTAAGACATGACTGTTAAGATACTGAAGAAATCGGGTTATGGGGGGAGCCCATCTGAGTCAGAACTTTGTCCAACCACTGCAGCGGTCCATGAAGATGGACTTCAATCCAGCAGGGGGTGCTCGTCACATCCTGGCGGTGATACTCAGCTCCCCAACCCTGGAAAGCAAAAACAGAGCCAGGAGTATTGTACCAGACTTGGCAGTCACCTCCAGGGCCCCTGGCAGAGTTTATGGGGTGCAGAGCCCCTCCCACCAGAGGAGCTTCTGAGACAAGAGAGGGAGAGAATGTGACCTCTACCTCCCGGGAGGCACAGGGCAACCCTTGCACCAACTGGACACCTTCTGTGAGCCCACATCAGTGCATTCCCTCTGGGTTCACAACGAAATCCTTGCACCTAGAGGTGGCTTGGGGCTCTAGTCACATGGGAACACTGGCATAGGGCAGAAGCCTGACCTTGTGTTCACCCCTTTCATGCCAAAGATAGCATTTCACATAAAACGGTTACTACGGACCAGCAATTGGATCTGAAAAGAGATAACTGGATAAAGTGATAACTGGAAGGCACTCTGGATTTTTCAGGGTTGATTATCAAAGCTTGCTCTTCTCTCTCTCTGACTCACGTGGTAATTCCTCATTTCTTACCACTCATGGGAGAGACAGTAAAAATAAGAAAGAAATAATGTATTTGTGTATTTTTCTCTATATGCCATAAATCAATGAAAAATTATTTAAAACATGAAAGGGGATCATGGCTAAGCAAATCACTTTTGTTACTAGGCTGTTAAAAATTGAATCCAGACACAGCCTGCCTCCTTGCCACACTATGTATTTGTGACCCTGAACCTCAAGTGACCCCTGATAGCAGGTGCTCCGTGCCCCCTAGTCCCTTTGCTCTCACATCTCCCTACCCATGCCTGAAACTGATAATCTTATTTCTTATTTTAATGAGAAAAATGAAGCAATAAGAAATGAAATTTTCACAGCATTTATACCCACATACCTGGTCGTTTCTACCTCCTACTATAGATTAATAATCTGGGTTTCCAAATGAACTGGTCCATCTGTTTATGTGTTATTAGAGTCACTTACCTTCTCAGGGACAACAGTTCCACCTTTTGCTCCTACTAGATCGGTCCCATCATTAACGAACACACTGAAATACCTCCCATCTTCAGAAGACATTTTTGTACTGCCCCCACCAGACTTTGATCCTCTGACCCCCGCCTAGGAAACACCCTGCAAAGCCTTACTTTGATGGCTTTCTCAATTCCTTCCCTCCTGTTCCCTCTTAAATTCATCTAATCAGCAATTCACCCAAGCTTCCAACAAAACTTTCCTTGTCAAGATCAAAAAGACCTTTCTGCTCCTAAAAATTAAGAATCAAATCTTTGTCATCACGTCACATGGGCAGTATTTGATTTAACTTATCATGCCCCTCTGGTCCTCAATGATCTTCTCTTGGTTTCCAAAGCACCATAATTTCTTGGCTCTATTCCTACCTCACTGGAAGTTTTTATTTTCAGTTTTCCTTGGTGGTTCTTTCTCTTCTCCCCAATCTTCTATGTTGCAGCGTCCCATCCCTAGGTCCTAGAACCCCTAATTTTCACTGTTTAAACTCACACCCTTGGTGTTCTCATTTGGACTCATGGACTTAAGAACCATTCTGATGCTGATAATTCCTAAAGTTTTACACCTCAAGCCCAGAGCTCTCTCTCATAATCCAGACTCTCATGTCGAGCTGCCTACTCAGCATCTCCACTAGAACGTGTGTGACATTCATGTCAAAGTTACCATCACTAAAACTGAACTCTCATTCGTATCTCCAAGGCTGGGACACCTGCATCTTTTCCATTTTGGTTGAAGGGAACTAACTTCATCTTTTAACTCCTCTCCTTTTTTCACACCCCACATCTACCCTGCCTCCAGAATTCAGAATCTTTCTACTTCTGACGAGTTCTACTGGACTCTCCTGGGGGGTTGCCATCATCTCTTGCCTGAATATTGCAATAGCCGCCTAACTATTATAATTGTGAATAGCTTCCCTATTCACAGTCTTGTGCCTTCACACAGCAGACAGTGAGTCTTTAAAAGCAGAAGTCAGTAAAGGCTCGCTAGCTCTACAGAGGAACAGCCAAAATTCCTTAAACTGGCTTAGGAAGTGGAAGCCTTGCTCTGGGTCCCTGCCCCACTCATTACACTTCGGCCACACGGGCCTGTTTGTTTCTCCAATTTCTAGGCTTCCTCTTGCCCTGGAGCCTTAGTTCTTGCTCTTCCCTATGCCTTTGCCCGGACAACCCTCTGACTAGTCTCCTGCCAGGCTCTCCAGGACGAGGCCTGCTCTGATGTGCGGCTGGCCCGCTCCAACTCCCTTCCCCCTGCTCAGGTTCTCTCTTCTATCCACCTTCTCTGGGATGGTTGTTTACTATCATTCTCTTCTTACTAGAATGTTGGTTCCATGAGGGCAGAGATCTGTGAGCAATCAGGGGGAGAAGGTTGGCGTTTTTTTTTTTTTTTTTTTGACAGACAGAGTCTTACTTTGTTGCCCTTGGTAGAGTGCTGTGGCGTCATAGCTCACAGCAACCTCCAACTCCTGGGCTTAGATGATTCTCTTGCCTTAGCCTCCTGAGTAGCTGGGACTACAGGTGTCTGTCACAATGCCCGGCAATTTTTTGTTGCAGTTTGGCTGGGGCTGGGTTTGAACCTGCCACTCTCAGTATATAGGGCCAGCGCCCTACTCATTGAGCCACAGGTGCCACTCAGCTTTTTTTTTTTCTTTAGATTCAAACATACTTTATTACTTAAAAAGTAATCTATCAACATAAACAAAAGTTTAAAACATTTCTATGTAATTGTTTAGAGTTTATATCTTTTCACTGGCTTCACTAGATCATAATTATTTTCCATAACTGATATTAAACGAGAGCATTTCCTCAATATTCTAGTAACTTGGTAAACACAGCAAAGCACTGATACAGGTTGCAGCAAGATACAGGCTGCATACCATTCTGTGTTCACCATGGACTCACCACTGAGCATAATTTGGACAATGACATAGTGTGGCTGCTGCTGACTTCATTCCAAGACAGTAGTTCTCACGATTACAAATGTGTTCATTTGTAATGAGAAAAGTCATAGAATTGCTGAAACCAACACTTTCTAAGTTTACTGATCATTACAGATCAGTTATTCTCCACTGAATAATTTCCTACTTTCCTATTTTCTCCCTTTCTCCCTGCCTCCCTCCTTTCCTTTGTTCTTTTCTTTTTTCCCTTCTGTCTTTCAGCTGAACTAGACCTGGCATTCCTTTGTGAGTAATCACTGATGTATCCCAACACCCACAACAGTGTCTGACCTGGCATACAGTAGGTAACTGGTAAATATTTGTTGACTGATTGAGTCTAGAATCAGTAGAAATCACACCTGAAAGAGACCTTAAGGATGATCTGATACATCACCCCCAAGTAGCAGTCACCAGTGCTTGCTCATGTATAATTTGTAAAACTGATCAACTATAGTTATATTTACTAAATACAGGAGAAATTCCATGGTTGACTACCTCCCTACATTGACCACATCCTTACGTTGACCTAATTTTCACAGACCAGACATGCACCACATGTATGCATCAACACAGCAGGCCTAGTTCCTCACTTGACCACCTCTGTATATTGACCAGGCTGTTATAGTTCCTTGGGTGGTCAACTTATAGAGGTTCTACTGTACTTTTTGAAAGTCCCTGAAATGTTAATAAGTTTATTTGCTGTGAATTGTGTAGCTTTATACATTTAAATGTTGCATATCTGAGAAATATATCTAGTTGATATTAAGGAAATTAGATTTTCATCTAAACTTATATTTAACTAAAGTGAAGTAATTACCTATGAGATATTGACATTTCATCCTAATTTTAGAAACACAGACCTGGAAAAAAACAACTGTTCAATTCTAATGAGTGTTCATTAACAGCAATTTAATGCCCTTTGCTGGCTCTAATGCAACAGAACATTTAGAAAGCTTTCCAGTATTTGTTAAGTGCTTTACAATGTAAAGCTGTAAATTTTTTAAAACTGTAAATTTGAATAAAGCTACTTTGTCATCATGAAAGAGAAATGATTTCAAGAAGTCATTTTTGAATTGGGAAAATACATCTTGATTCTTATTTTCAAAGTAATTATTAAAATTATAAATACAGTACAATAAAAACATAATTAAGCATAGAAAAATAGGACAATTATTTGTCAAGGTAATTTTAAACAGCTAAAAAAATTTTTACTTTGAAAAAGTGAGCCATACTGATTCCTGGGCTAGCTATGTGACAATGTGAAAACTGTGTCACATGTACCTAGATAGTTTGTTAAACAAGCTCAGATTTTGAAATATTAGAATGATGTACAAGTATTTTGTAATAGATAAAGTAGCAGATGATGAAACTGAAACCTTAGCTTCAACGTGTAAATCCAGTTTCGTCTTCCCACTATGAAACTTCCTTGGCTCTCCAAACTCCAGACTTGAGAAACCCAACACATATTCCACTTTCTAAGAACTAATCACATTCACCTAATGTTTCCATCCTAATTTGTTTATATCCTTATAACAGCACTTCATTTTATCCTATTTTTTATTAGAGCCAATTCTGTGCCTAAATATTTTGGAGCTTATCTATGCATATCATCTCCTCTATTCTCCTGAATGCTTTCTAAGAGTAAGAAGAGTGTCTTACTGAATTTGGATAAATTCACCAACATTCACAGAGTGACAACAGAGCTTAGCAATTTGATGAGAGAAAAATCTCTGCATCATTTAGTCCTAAAAATTATAATTGCATTTTATCTTCTGCATTAAAAGCAATCAGGTAGCGACCTTAACTTGTTTTTACAACTAAAGACAACACATCATACTCACAGAGGAACTCTTCTTAAAAACTGGTAATGAAATTAAAAAAAAATTATTGTCAGAATTGGCTATAGAAGCGCCTCATCCTCCAGAGTGCTGTTGTTCTGTTTTGTTTTATTGTTTTTTACTTCATAATCTGACCAAATTCCCCCACCCCGCTTACCTTAACAAAACTCATCCGGATGGTGCACATCTTAGTTAACTCATAAACGACTTCGAAGCCATGGTGCACTGACTGGGCCAGCAACTGAGCAAACAGCTGGTTGTTGAAGACCTTGAGGCTGCACCCGCTGGGGATCTTGCAGACAGTGGCCGGGTGGAAGCCGTGCTGATAGTTGCAATTCCGGCTCTGCACAAAGATGCTGCTGTCACTCACGCACTCGGCATACACCTCTCCCCCGACATAGTACAAGTGCACACCTGCAGACGCAAAGACACAGCCTTCCTTCACACACCCGCACACACTGTGCCCTCCCACGGGCTCTGTTACCCTAAAGAGATACTAAGTCTGGACTGTCAGGTTCCTGGTCGGATCATTAATCCAAGATGTGTAAAATGTGTGACCCAAATGCCACTTCTTTCATTATAATTAATTTGTACTTTCTCCACAAGTCTATTTGAAAGTGAATTGGAACCCAAGAACTCAAGAGTCCCATATATATATTATCTCTCCCATCTCTCTATCTCCTGTTTGTTTCAAAAATAAGGTTTCCTAATATTAGAAACAAAATAAATAGATCATGCCAAAAAAATCAAATAAACCCTTCATGCACATATATAAATTTGACAATTTAAAACTGGACACAGTTAATAGGAAAGTGTCACTGAAGTGCATACACACAATCCACTTAGAGGAAACAGTGAATGATGGTTAAATTTTAATTTACCAACAGTTACAAATCTGTTTCTCCTAATAAATATCTCAAAGAGAACGATCTCATTTCAAAGTGTATTACCTATGCTCATAAATCATATATATAAATGTCTATTTTTCACTTGTTAACAGTGAAATTCCTACCACATTTTTAGATAGAATATAAAAACTCACATGCAAAATATAGCTTACTTCACTTCATCTAACATTCTTATAATTAATAGTTCATGCAGAGAACGTTACCACTCTTGCCATTTTCTATTCCAATTAAACTTAAGGAAGTTCTTTTCCTTTAATTCTCTGGGTTTGAGACTCAACATAAATTTATAGCAAGGGACTAGAGTTACCTAATATGAAGAAGCTCTAGTTTAGTGAATATTAAATACCAGAATAATTTTTCTCTACCTTTTTTTGTTCATACTTCCCACTTCATGAAAAATCCCCAACTTTTAAGGTAGAAAAAAATGTCTTCAGCTCTAGAAGTCAACACGATTATAAATATAATCGCTATGCAGTTAAAAAGTGTTTATAAAAATGATCCAGAATATACTTAAATATTCTGGGTCTCCTCAAAATGAAAATGTAAAAGTTGAGAAACAGAACTTACAGACCTCGAGGGCTTTTCAGACCCCAGGGTGTACAACTTTGACTTCAGCAAACAGACCTGAGGGGGCTGCTCAGAGCTCCTTTGTCAGCCTCTCCGTAGCACTGGAGGCAGTTTTTCATTGCTCCCTACCCCCCTCCCCCCACCATACTTACTGTTTCCTTCTCCCATTTCCTTTCCCTTAATAAAATTTTAGAAAAGAATGATTTCGAGTATTATATATTCCAATCACATCACTCTGAAGGAACTGGCCGGGCTCTGGATATTCAGGTCAAAGTTCCCTGTCACTGTGCCCATGAGCTCAGCTTCCTCCTCTTCTTCCCTCAGCCATCCTCTCAACCCTCCTCTCAACCTTCTTTTTCTCAGCTCCTTCACTCACTCTCTTGTACGGCCTTGGGCCTGGAACCCATGGCCTCCAAGGTAGTGCCCAGGAAGCAGAAGGGTGGTCCTGACTGGCTGGAACATAGTCACTTGGCTGCAGCCCCAGAGTGGAGCAGGTATTTGAATTGAATAACCTTCAAATACATAATCCTCTTGAAACCTATTAGGTAGAAGAGGTAAGATTTTTGTTATCTGACCCTGGTCTTTATGTTGGGGGTGATTTTCAATCCTGTTAGAAGACTTATCTGCAACCACAGCACAGTGGCAGAGGAAAGCTGGGCAGGTAGGAAGCAGCAGTCCAGTGTCCTAGGGAAGAGGGAGGGAGGCTGCTCTGAACACGAGGAGAGGGCTGGAACTGACCTTTGTGAAAAGGAATCTGGCTTTAGACCAGAAACAGCAGCATCTAAACAGGAGTTGAGTGAGCAAACAATTTTTTTTTGAGATAGCATCTCCGTCTCACTCTGTTTCCCAGGGTAGAGTGCAGTAGCATCATCTAGCTTCCTGTAACCTCAAACTCCTGGGCTCAAGCCATCCTCCTGCCTCAGCCTCCCTAGTAGCTGGGACCACAGGCACTTGCCACAATGCCCGGCTAATGTTTCTATTTTTGTTGAGATGGGTCTTTGCTCTTGCTCAGGCTGGTCTCAAACTCCTGGCCTCAAGCAGGAGGCAGTTTCCTGCTTGGCCTCCCAGAGTCCCAGGAGTGAGCCACCACATCAGCCAGCAAACAATTTTGTTTGTACCCATTTGGCAGGTCAAAGTAGTGGCTTTAAATCCTATATATCAGATTCAAGCCCACCACCCACTGGTACAGTGGTTCTGAAACCTAAGCTTGCACCAGAGTCACATGGAGAGCTTGTTAAAAAAAACAGACCACTACTTGAGTTGTGGGGGATGAGGCCTGACAATGTGCATTTCCAACAAGTCCCAGGTGAGGCTGATGCTGCCTCCCTCTGCTACACTTCGCAAATCTCAGGCTGGTGTATAAGCCAGTCCTGCGAATTGGAAGGGCCGGATTTTTTTTTCTTCTTTTTAAATTTATTTTTCTTACTTATACATGTGTATATCAGGTTTCCACTTTTGCCTTCACAGAATTAACAAGGCTAAATTTAATGACAATAACAATATTTAACATAAGGACCGAGAACAAAAACCTCATAAAGAACGAAAGAAGATAAATACATTCAGAAAAGAAATCAGACTATTGCTGCAATGAAATATTAAGCAATAATAATAGTAATAATGCAAAGAAAGTAACATACACATTGTCAGATAGAAGTATGACTATTATAGAATACTTTGATCAGTTAACTTCTTCTTATTTTGTTTTTTCCAAAGTCTCAAAAAATAGACAACTAATATGTATAAATAAAAGATAATTTAAAAAAAACAGATCATGCCTAATCTTATAGACAATAGAAAAAGAAATACTTCAAAATCATTCTACTTAATCTGGATACACCTGATATTAAAATTGGAGAAAATATATTACTATAAAGGGGAAATTACAAACATGTATCACTTATAAATGAGGGTACAATATGATAACCAACATATTAACATGTTGAATTAAAAATTAATGTTTAAGTAATGTACTTTGGTCAAAATTAAATACAATTTATATGAGAATTAGTCACTATTTTCTTTTTCCTTGCCCACACCCCCTCCCTCCTTTTTCTGGTCTCTCCTTCCCCCTATGCCCCACCATGTCATTAATTACCATTAATTGTCTTCATATCAAAGTTGAATACATAGGATTCTTACTTCTCCATTCCTGTGATGCTTCACTAAGAATAATGTGTTTCATCTCCATCCAGATTAATACAAATGCTGTAAAATCTCCATTATTTTTGATGGCTGATTAATACTCTATGGTATACATATACCCAAGCTTACCAATCCATTCCTGGGTTGACAGACATTTAGGCTGTTTCCACATTTTAGTGATTGTAAATTGGGCTACATTAAACAGTCTAGTACAAGTGTCTTTATAATAAAAGTTTTTTTTTTCCTTCTGGATAGAAGCCCAGTAATGGGATTATAGGATCGAATGGGAGGTCTAGGTTGAGTTCTTTAAGGTTTCTCCATACTTCCTTCTAAAAAGGTTGTATTAGTTTGCGGTACCACCAGCAGTGCAAAAGCATTCCTTTCTCTCCACATCTGCACCAGCATCTGCAGTTTTAAGATTTTGTGATATAGGCCATTCTCACTGGGGTTAGATGATATCTCAGGGTGGTTCTAATTTGCATTTCTCTGATAATTAGGGATGATGAGCATTTTTTCATATGCTTAGTAGCCATTTGTCTATCATCTTCAGAGAAGATTCTATTCATGTCTCTTCCCCATTGATATATGGGATTGTTGGGTTTTTTCTTGTACATTAATTGAAATTCTGCATAGATCCTGGTTATTATCTATGCAGAATTTGCAAAATATGCAAATATCCTTTCCCTTTGAGTAGGTTGTCTATTTGCTTTGGTTGTGGTCTCCTTGGCTATAAAGAAACTTTTCAATTTCATTAAATCACATTTTTTTATTATTGCTATTGTTGCTATTGCCATGGCAGTCTTCCTCATAAAGTCTTCCCCAGGCCAATATCTTCCAGTGTTTTTCCTATTCTTTCTTTGAGAATTTTTATCATTTCATGCCTTAAATTTAAGTCCTTTATCCATCATGAATCAATTTTTGTGAGTGGAGAAAGGGGTGGGTCCAATATCAGCCTTTTACATGTGGATTTCCAGTTCTCCCAGCACCATTTATTAAATAGGGAGTCTGTCCCCCAGTAGATGCTCTTGTTTGGTTTATTGAAGATTAGTTGGCTCTAAGTTGTTGGTTTCATTTCCAGATTTTCTATTCAATTCCAAATATGTATGTCTCTATTTTAGTGCTCATACCATGCTGTCTTGACCACTATGGCCTTGTAGTACAGCCTGAAATCTGGTATAATGATACCCTTGGCTTTGTTTTTGTTACTAAGAACTGCCTTAGCTATATGGGTTTTTTTTTTTTTAGGTTCCATATAAAACACAGAATCATTTTTTCCACGTCTTGAAAGTAGGATGTTGGTATTTTAATAGGGATGGCATTGAATCAGTAAATTAGTCTAGGAAGTACAGACATTTTAACAATGTTGATTCTTCCCAGCCATGAGCATGGTATATTTTTCCATTTGTTGATGTCTTCTGCTATTTCCTTTCTTAGGGTTTCATAATTTTCTTTATAGAGGTCCTTCATCTCTTTTGTTAGGTATATTCCTAAGTATTTCATTTTCTTTGGGGCTATGGTGAAGGGAATTGTGCCCTTAATTAACCTCTCATCTTGGCTATTGTTGGCATATACCAAAGCAACTGACTTGTTGACGCTGATTTCATATCCTGAGACATTATTGTATTTTTTGATGACTTACAAGAGTCTTGTGGTTGAATCTGTGGGGTTCTCCAAGTATAAGATCATATCATTAGCAAAAAAGGGAGAATTTAACCTCATCTGCTCCCATTTGGATGCCCTTTATTTTCTTGTCTTGTCAATTCAACAATGTTGAATAGTAATGGTGACAGAGGACAA